CTGCTGTTAAAGCAAAGGGTATCCACAGTTTAATGTTGCTTTAGACAAAATTATGCTTATTTTTCCAGATTTTTTTTTAAAGTTTTTCTTGTGAAACCTTGGATGCTTTCACGTCCTTGGGTCGCGGAAGTGCCAAAACCTGCAGTTCCTCGAATGGCCACTTGAGTCTGGCTCCAAAAGGGTGTCAATCCCCATAGGTTCCCATGTTAAACTGCCCAAATTTGCAGCAGAAATAAACATGTTTAGAGCCTGGTACAAAAAATGGTTTTTGTCTCTATAGCTAATTTCCCCATCCATGACAACTGTACAGGGGGTGAATTTTTTTATAACTTGCCTGTTTAAATTATATTTAGACTAGAAGTTACACATAATTAAGGGCATGGCCACTTTGAGTGACAGACGGGAGGGTCCTGCCATCGATAGCTTGCTCTAGCATCTCGTAAGCTCTATTTATGCTCCACCTTTTTGCTCACTTTTGGTTTAGACCTAGCAGGCAGAGTGAAGCGCCACCAATATGGCTGCGGCCAGACTTGTGCTTCAAAACCACTACTCAGAAAACCAGTGGGTGACATCACAGTGGGTTTGTCCAGTTTTTATCAGTAGCCTTTAATGCAAAGTGTGGTGGTGAAAAATATGAATTTGAAGGGAAAGGTGGATGGTTAAATACACACTTTTTATAGTGAATTTATATATTGGATGTGCACAATATGCACAGGCAGAATCGGAATAAATAGAGGTGAAAATGTTTTGTGTGTATTTAAAATGTAAAATTGTGTCTAGAAAACACTAAAAGAATGATTAGTTATGTGTCAATGCATGTGAGTGATGGTTTATTCCTGTCTCTCCCTAGTGTGTAAAAAAAGCAGTGCAAATGAACACAGGAATATTTGGAATGGAGCCTTGGAGATATGGTTATGTAGTTACCACAGTATGATGATAGTGAGGCCTACATCCTTTTTGCTGCTGTAAAAGCAGACAAGATCACAGCGTTGCTCCACAGTGATGTTTTCTCAAAAGTGTTTAAAATAACAGCTTCTTTTATTTGTTGCAATACCACTTGGCCTTAATGTCCTTAGTACAATTTCTGGCTGTGATATTTTTAACAGTAAACCCACAAACATTTTGATGAAGTTGTCTAACAAGTAGCCGGCATAGAAAAGGAGTTCAATGGCTGAAAAAAAAGTAGGCTTAAACCAAAGATAAGAAGTTGTAGGAATTCTACTTAGACTTGCTTATGGTCTTAGAAATGTGTTTATTATAGGAAGTGGGTGGATTGTCCTAAATTAGATCGGAAGCCACAGATCTTTTTCATTCTCTCTTTGTATCTTTGTCACTTTTTGTCTGATCTCACAGCAGGACGAGATGCTCTTACCTTGACTGAAGATGGTATATTGCTTGATTGTGTGTATGTATTTGTAAGGCAAGTTTAAACAAACAGGAGCAAAAAGACACAGGGTACTGTGGAGCTCCTTCATCAGTAAGAGGACAGGTATGCAAATACCTCATTTTTAGAGGTCAACCACTGTTGTACTCAAACTGTGTGTGTGTGTGAGAGAGTGATTGCTTTATTGTTCCTGGCAGCACAATCCTTTGTGAGGATCACCTTGAATTTTACATATTGAATAGAGGACATTAGTGAAATGTGTGATTATTTTTGATTGGTCCTTAGTACTGCACCATGATTTTTAAGGATTTGGGTTAAGTTTTATGATTAAGTTTAATTTAAGGCTAAAACAAAAGTTATGGTTAGAAATGTGATTGTAGTGGTTTAGGTAGGGGCTAGGAAATGGTTTATGTCACTGAAGGTCCTCATAAGTGTAAAAATACAGCTGTGTGTGTCAGTGTTTGAAGCCCAGTGGCTTGATAAGCATCCTGTTTTTGTTGAAACTCAACCAATGTGTCCTTAAGTTCTCATCTTATTGTGTAACTATACATTTGAGCATCAGAGAGGATAAATTGGTAACAGAGCGAGAGAGAGGGAAGACAGAGCGAGATGAGCAGAGACAGCGATGGTGGTGATTTTGGCACTGGTGGTTTTGGTTTTTGGCCTCACAGTTGCCAAGCTGTAGATGTATGTAAATTATAGATGTAGTAGTTTTTAATTAGGGCTTTCACTATTTGGAATAAGTAGCTTGGGTTGAAAAACAGTTTGTCATGTTAAGTAGATTACAGCTGTTCAATGTCACATACATATTTAATCAACATCTAAATAAATATGAGTGACAGATTGAACTTGGTATTTGCAGATACCCAATGTCAGAGCACTTGGATCAGGGCTGAGGCCAACAAACTTTGCTGGGACTTCCCTAATTTAACTTTTGAGTGATACTGCCAAGGGGTGTCCTTGGTTTTGTTGCGTAACGTATTTAGCAGAGTTCTGTATTTGGTCTTTGTTGACCCCTCAGTTAAATGTAGTTACTCTACAGCCGTTGACTCTGCAGCTGGCATTTTCAAACATACCTAAATCTCAATAACACAGTAAAGGAATGAAAGAATAAGGGCAACGCACAGAGGTGGCATCACAGCTCATCATGTGACGTGTATCACATGACTCTTGTAACACAGGGAGCAGTGCAGATTCAGTGTGGGACTACCAAAATTGGTGAGTACTTCAATATTTTATGCTTTTAATGTGCGTCAATGCCAAGAAAATAGGACAATAGCGTATCTTGAAGTGTTGGCAGGTGTCAACCTGTGTTGTTTTGCCGCCAATGCGTGGGCTTTCATTGAAAATAATAGGAGGGGGTATTTGGCCATGTGTCACATGCCACCTGTGTGTGAGGCCCTATAGAAGCAGAGCAGCACAGAGAGGAGCAGTTGAACCAGATGGAGAGACAAAAAGACAGAAACAAATACAAGCTGGGACAGAAGGCCTTATGCTTTCAACAAGAAATTTTTAAAGGCATGGAGATGCTGGGGATTGAACCCAGGACCTCATACATGCAAAGCATGCGCTCTACCACTGAGCTACATCCCCTACAGAGGGCCTTCTTTGTTTCAGACAGTAGAGAGGTAAGACACAGTTACTGAACCTGTTGGATCCAGGCATATGGGAAAGTTGTCTTGGGTTAATCTCTGGTTGTCAACATTAAATGAACGTCAGTCAGTACAAATTACTGCCATAACACAGAATAATGCTGAATTCTATTATGAGAAGCAGATGGAGAGACAAAATAATACAGACAGAGAGACAAATACAAGGAATGCTGACAAGGAAAACAAAAATTAAAAAGAAAAATTGAAATACCAGTAGGTGGACAGATGATGAATTGATAACAGCTTTGAGCCTGGCTCAAAATCTCTGCCATCAGGCTCTCGCCTAACTATTGGCAATGAATGGGCAGCTGTCTCTAACCCATGTGTCTCCATATGTGCTTGGAGTGCTCAATAACGCAGCTGACTTTTGCCACAAGGGGGCTCAAATACAGTCAACAGCCTTTCCAGCACTTACAGTGGTGAAAAACATTAACCCCACCCTTGACAGAGGTAAAGATGCAAAATGGCCTCCAGGATACAGATATAGAGGTGACACTGAAACCCACTTTTTCTGTGGTGAATATTTGGTGTAATTTTCAGGTTTATCAGTGAAGTGACATTAATCTGTTTTATATAAATTAGTCCAGTTATGTGTGTCTAATGCAAGATGGTATTTTAAGGAAAACTCCAGAACATTCCACTCATCAGAGAAGCTGGGGATTGAATGCAGGACTTCATACATGCAAAGCATGTGCTCTACTACTGAGCTACACCCCCTGGGGTGGTTTGTGAGGAGACATTCATTTTATACCCTTCTCAGACAGACAGCAGGCACCTAATGATGTGAGCTACTGAAGGCACATTGACTCTGCACTGGTCCCATACAATGAGACAGTGTTCAGAGGTTGCCATAAGAAGGTTAGACTCCAGTTAAATCAGTGCACACAAATAAAGTGTGTTCTTAATGTTAATCCTTTCTTGCAACTGTGGTCAC